CGTCAGGTAAAATTGATATCCGTATAGTTAATCGGCCATTTTGATCGATGAAAAACAAATAGTCGAGTATTTATGGTGCAATTGAAATAAACCAGTATCATGTTTGTGAAAACTAAATCATGTCCAAAAGATGTGGGTGAATGGAAAACTCGTGAAAAGAACTTTAATTGTTCTTATCCAAAAGAAGTTTATCATTGTTTATCTGACGGATACGGAAATTTGGGAGAAACATGTATCAAAGGGCTTGCAAGCTGGGTTGAGAAAGGTAAATTGTTTAAAACGAAAGTATGTTAAGAAGCATATTATGTCAATTATTTATTATTAGAAATAGGATTTGCCTGATTTAATGACTTGACAGATTAATCGTAGTATGTTGTAAGATATTATAATTCAATGCGCATTATAATAGCATATTAGAAAAATTTAAATGTCAAAGACTATCGAAAACTACGGAAGCCCAATAGTGCAAACCAAAAATAAATAAAGAAAAAAAGAAATTATTAAATAAAGAAAAACGAAATTATTAAATAAAACGAAATCATTAAATAAAGAAAAACGAAAATATTAGATAAAGAAAAACGAAATTAATAAATGAAGAAAAACGAAATTAATATATATAGAAAAACAAAATTATTTAAAGTAGAAAACGAAATTATTAAATAAAGAAAAACAAGATTATTAAAAGTAGAAAACTGAAACTAAAATACGGAATTTATAGATGTGCATGGTAGGGCCTGAACACATGACTCATCCCATAAAGCGCACGTGTTATAAAGCATCACTTAGTAACTCTTTACACCTTATATTGTTTCGACATTACAAACGTGTGGGGGAAATGAAAAATTAAAGAAGAAAAATAAATATCAAATTGACAAACGAACAAAAAAATATATGCACACTGTCAAAAATTCGCATCATAAACTGTTCAATTTTGTTTACTTGCATTTGTTAAATTGCTGTGTCATATCCCATCAACATCGTTGCTGAAGCCTGTAAGCCTGGACGTAATGAGGATAGCTGTTTCTGCTTGCATAAAATTAATGACATTCCAATAGATCTCATGAACCGCAAGAAGGTCTACACCTTATGTATCGTATTACTGAATTCCCCAAACTTAGCCCAGCGTCCTATCTGTGTACCCATAAATCTTAGATTGTTGAAACTATAAAGAGAAAAATTATTTGATTACTTTGTGGGATTTGTTATGTGCAAGTGTGTGCATTGATTGTTCACAAATATCATCGACTTATAAATACACAGACTGAGAGTTTGTCATTTAGAATATGTGAGAAAAAGTACTATAGTAGTCAGTACCACTGACTTATAAATAGTACAAATTGAGAGTTTGACATTTATAATATGTGAGAACAAGTACTAGTAGCCAGTACGCCACTTCTCATTATGCTTTGATAAAAAGACCAAGAAATCAGAAGTGTTTTGCTTTATTTCATTTTATTATTAAAGCTGTTAACGTCAACATATCACCGAATTATCGGCCAAATTATCTGACCGGTCAAAGTTCACATTTATTAATCATATAAATTTATGGAAAGAAATTAGCTAGTTGATGGGTAACCGGGCTATCAAAATACTTATTGCATTAAAATAAATAAATTTAATGTAAGATAAAAACATAAATCAAAGCATATTGGATACCAAAGGTTAAATTCTTCCCGATCCATGAATTTTAATGGTTATGTTATCGATATGGAAATAGGTGAATGTACAGGCATCACACATCACACTTGTTTATTGTCGAAACAGAATCAGGTCTATCAGACGCGTGCGCTAATGATGTATGTGTTCAAGCCCTTATCATGCAATTCTATAAATTCTGTATCTTAGTTTCAGTTTTCTATTTTTAATAATTTCGTTTTCCTTTACTAAATAAATTCGTTTTTTATCTTTAATTATTTGTTTTTACCGTTCACGGTAGCTCAGTCGGTATATAGAGCGCTCGTTCCGTGATCGGGAGATCGTGAGTTCGAATCTCGGCCGAGAGTGACCTAAGTCGATAAAAAATGGGTATCAACTGTTCATTCGCCATGCGCTCAGCACTTTGAAGTGAAAGATGCGGGTCCTTCGGATGAGACCTTAAAAACCGAGGCCCCGTGTCAGCGGCAGGTGTTGGAATGATAAAGATCCCTCACTGCTCAATGGCCCGAAGTGCCGAGGAAAGGTCAAAATTTGAAGCCCTTCACCGGCATACGATGACGTCTCCATGTGAGTAAAAAATTCTCGAGAGGGACGTTAAACAATATGCAATCAATCAATTAATAATTTGTTTTTCTTTATATATTTACTTCGTTTTTCTTTATATTGTAATTTCGTTTTTTAGCTCACAGTGGCGTAGCCAGGCCACTTTTGATGTGGACGCGAGAGTAGACAGGGGGTTTGGGAGCCTAATGCCCCCAATGGGTCCGTGGTTAAGCCCTGATGAGGATCCAGAGGGCATGCCCCCGACAACTATTGAATTTCGATGAGCATATTCGACCCTCCTGATCGCATTTTTCTTACACTTTTAATTTTGTCATGCACCCATGTTTTCGAGGTCTGTTTTGTTTTGTTTTTGTACAAAATATGGACAAACACTCAAAAAATGAGAAAGAATATTTCCAATACATTGTATCATTGTTTATGATATGAAGAGCCCACTTAAAACAATTTTAGACTTTTGAAGAGACAAAATACTTATGATGAATTAATCGGTTGGAGTGGTTCATGTAGAATATGATGCACTTATAAAAAAAAAATCAGCAATACGTAAACCATGCCAGATTCAAGGAAAATCTAATGATTTCAGAAATGGAGATGTCTCCTATAATATTTTCCCCTAAAACTGATTCTGTTAATTTTCAGTTATTATTTATTGTTTATTAAATTGTTTCTAAACATTTATTTTATTTTCAAAATTATTCATTTATTGCAAAATATGTTGCTTTAAGAGCATAAAAATTTCGCCTGCTCTCCCTCTCTCCTTTTCCCACTAAAATGACGTGGACGTTTTTGCGTACAAACGTACGCCTGGCTACGAGCCTGGCTCACCTGAGCTGAAATCTCAAATGAGCTTTTCTGATCACATTTTGTCCGGCGTCCGTCTGTCCGTCCGTCTGTCTGTCCGTCTGTCTGTAAACTTTTCACATTTTCGACTTCTTCTCAAGAACCGCTGGGCCAATTTCAACCAAACTTGCCACAAAGTATCCTTGGGTGATGGGGATTCAAGTTTGTTCAAATGAAGGGCCACGCCCTCGTTCAAGGGGAGATAATTGGGAATTAATGAGAATTTGGTGGAATATTTTAAAAATCTTCTTATCAAGAACCACTGTGCCAGGAAAGATGAAACTTATGGGGAAACATCCTCAGGTAGTGTAAATTCAAATTTGTTCAAATCATTACCCCCGGGGGTAGGGCGGGGCCAAAATGGCCGACCAAAGTTTTACATAGAAATAAATAGGAAAATTCTTTAAAAATCTTCTTCTGAAGAATGGCAAAGCCAAAATTCATCATATTTATATGGAAGCATGCTCAAGTAGTGTAGATTCAAGTTTGTTCAAATCATGACCCCTGGGGGTAGGGCGGGGCCAAAATGGCCGACCAAAGTTTTACATAGAAATATATAGGAAAATTCTTTAAAAATTTTCTTCTCAAGAATGACAAAGGCATAATTCATCATTTTTATATGGAAGCATGTTCAGGTAGTGTAGATTCAAGTTTGTTCAAATTATGACCCCCTGGGTAAGGGCGGGGCCAAAGTGGCTGACCAAAGTTTTACATAGAAATATATAGGAAAATTCTTTAAGAATCTTCTTCTCAAGAATGACAAAGCCATAATTCATCATATTTATATGGAAGCATGCTCAAGTAGTGTAAATTCAAATTTGTTCAAATCAATACCCCCAGGGGTGAGCGGGGCCAAAGTGGCCGACCAAAGTTTTTAAAGATATATATAGGAAAATTCTTTAAAAATCATTTTCTAAAAAAATAGCAAATCCACGATCGGTCATGGGACTACTTTTGGATTTAAACTTTACAATAAAAAGCCATTTTCTACTTTTTCCTACCCTTAGTACTCAGGTGAGCGATGTGGCCCATGGGCCTCTTGTCTTTATTTAATAATTTCGTTTTTCTTTATATATTAATTTCGTTTTTCTTTATTTAATAATTCGTTTTTCTTTATTTATTTTTGGTTTCCATTATTGGGTTTCCGTAGAAAACTCTTCGAACCGGATATAATTATCACACGTTTAACGAATCGTTAAAAGTTTTAACAAGATTAAAACCATTTACCATTCAGTCTTGCATACTACAGAAGTGAAACTAAGAATTTATTTCGAAAAGTATGTATTTGTCCTATCTCTTCAAAGCAGGTAACATTGTTCATGTTCGTAGGGCTCATTATTTGAATTTTAGAGGACTAAGATTTAATTTCTCAAGTAGTAATCCAACTTACATATATCAATCTATTGCTGAAGGAGTAAATTCTTCATAAGTATCAGTATATCCCAGCTAACACAAAAACATTTTAAAAATGTTTTTAAAACATTTTCAAAATGTTGCGAAAACATTTTTAAAAATGTTTTAATCACGTGATTTTGTATGGTTTTTTAAACGTTTTTAAAACATTTTAGTGAAATATTTCAGCAAAATGTTGTCAGAACACTTCCTTAAAATGTTGCAAAAACATTTTCAATAATGTTTTAATCACGTGAATTTGTATGGTTTTTTAAACGTTTTTAAAACATTTTAGTGAAATATTTCAGCAAATGTTTCTGGAACATTTTCTTAAAATGTTACAAAAACATTTTTGAACAATGTTATAATCACGTGATTTTGTATGTTTTTTTTAAATGTTTTAAAAACATTTTACAAAATATTTCAACAAATGTTATCATAACATTGTTATAAAATGTAACTAAAACATTTTCAAAAATGTTTTTCTCACGTTTAATTTGTTTGGTTTTTAAAACGTTTAATTTTTGAACCTTTAATACAAACCCATATTCAATATGTTAATCACATTTAAATTCCATTCTCGGTACAAGTTTTAATTTATTTTCTTTCGAGTCACCGGGTTTTTAAAGGGTGAAAACGGCGTCTAATCCATTCACTGAATTTTAAAAGAACACTTAGAACAGAATCACAGAAATCCTATGTTCACAGTATAGGTCGAACAGAGCGGCGGATCTATAAGACTTAGTTAGAATCACATACACTGAAAAGGCTGATAAGGAATCCGCCCCTCGGAAAGAATAGCACAACCTGTAAAGATAAGGAAAACTGTGTTTGTATCAGCGTTCTACATATAATCTTAAGATGATCAATGAAAATATACAAAAATATTTTAAATAATTATATCAAATTTAAGTTCTTTCCTCATTTGCATTGATAAAAACAGAAAAGTAATTACCATGACAATATTATTGAAGAGTAATGGTATTTACGTACACCTTTGCCTTCACCAAAGGCGGGTCTTTTGAATGTGGGAATTTGAAAATACGGATGATGCAATCAACACCATGCTGTAAAGAAATTTCATTTTTAAATCAACATATTGTTTGATGATTTTAAAACATTTCACAAAGACAACGAATACTTGAATCAAGGATATAATTGTGTTGACTTAAGAATGAAATATTCAAATCAAATACATGTGTATAACCGTAACGCTTTGTCATTACTTAATGCTACATACATTTGTACAAAGTTATTAATCGTGCACTGGTAGTATAAAGTCATTTTTAGATGATCTTTTAAACTAGTCTATGATAAAGGAATAATTCTTACCATTCAAAGTTAATAAATCCCGAGGTTATTATTGTGGTTTTATGGTGCAAAGTCTTCTCATGCAAATCGGCACGGAGTAAACGCGCACATCTTGTTTACCAGAATTCAAAATTTGGCCTAGATAAGCTGCAATCCACTATACTCTGTAACGCGCTGCCCAGCAGGAAAATTGCATAATAGGTTATAACTGTCGTGATCCCGTGCCGGATTGGACAAAACAAGATGGCGGCGGGAACGATTCGAAAAAGGTAGGTATCTGAAATTTCAGTTAATATCTCCATTAACCGTCAGATATACTTGCTCTGAGGAAACTGTCGAATTCCTAGTAAAGTGTTTATTTATGTGGTCGATTGCTACCTTTCCTATCCTCTCTCAAACGTGAACATTTAACGACTGAAGACAGCAATATTTTCCCGATTGAGTTTGAAGCGGCACAAAGTTGTTTTTTTCTTCGATTTTGACCGTTTTATAAATCCAGCAGCCGGCCTGTAGCAAAAAATAAGAACTTGGTGTAATTCTGACCTGGTGTTATATGTATTTTTGTCAAACCCTGTTTTGTTACAAAAATATTGCGATTTAAAAATATTGGCATGTGCTGGATTGGAATCAGTTAATTTTGATGGAAAATGTGCCGGATTAGACTGCATTTTTGGTGCCGGATTGGATGATGCTTATGATGGTCATTTTAATAATCTTTTTTCTCTTTTAGTTTTAAAGCCATGGACGCATCATTCAGAGAATTATCAGATGGAGGAATTTGTGAGGCATGTGGTCGGGAGTACAGATCAAAATGCGCCCTGCTAAAGCATATTAGAATTAAACACGACCAACAGAAACTTGCCTTTACTTGTGATGATTGTAACAAACGTTTTTCTGACCGCCAGCAGCTGAATGCACATTTGGAGAAGCATGATAAGTGTGAAAGATTTAAGTGTGACACTTGCAGTGAAACATTCACATACAAGCACAACCTTACAAGGCACATGAAAAAACACCCCAATCCAAAGGTTCACACTTGTAGCTACTGCAGTCAGGAGTTTGGGAGAGGGGACACCTTACTACAACACATTAGAGTAGTCCACGACCAAGCAGCGAAGTACACTTGCAACATCTGCGGCGGCTGCTACAGATGGAAATTTAGCCTAAGGCGGCACATGAAAAACAAGCATGGAGGAATTTAAGTCTGAGGAATAGACATTGATCATGACAACCAATATATACATATTTTTTTTACACCTTAGATAAGATATCTCTGTGATAATTTCAAATGCAATGCAATAGTACTTATTTTTCTCATTTACATTTTTTCGTAAAGTTTTTATATTATTTTATATTATTTTATTATTTTTCTTTAACACATTTTCCTTTTTGTTTGTTATGATTATACACAAGAAGTGTTCATGACTGTTATTTTTTATTAAATGTTAAAAAATTTTCAGATATTTTCTTCTTTTTAAATATCACTTCCCCGGATTAGAAAAAGGAATACTTTTGCCCCTATTGATTCTTTTTTCTAGCTAGTTATTATTTAAGCAAATATTATTCTAAGTAATTTTACAGTAAGTTAATTTGATGTGCAATGTAATAGACAAAACAATTTTATCCCTTTGAACTATACAAACAAACGTGAAAATCTAGTACTTGACATGAGATTGTACAGTAGTAATTTGCATTTTAAAATTAGCTCTGGTTTAGACTTTAATATTGATGAAACAAAAAATACTAATATTAATACAAGAAGCAGAAAATTGAAAAAAAAGAAGCTGCAAAAATTACGCATTACCATAGTATAAAAAAGTCCCAGTCGAAATATCAACATTTCAAAAAAGAGAAATGTCACTTTATATACTCATTATTTTCGTTCGACTAGTCTTTGCAAAGATTGAGCAGTTCAAGTTCGTATAATTTTATTAGTCTTTTTAACATAAGCATTGTAATTATACAACAATTAGTATTAAAATACAAATCCATGTTTTTCAGTAAACCTGTACAGTTAGTAAGCCAGAGGAATAAACCTAAACATCATTAAGAAGGAGCCCTCTTCTGACATGAGGTAACAATTTTGCTTCATGTGCACGATGGAATTCTCGTACCGTAAGAGGTTTCGCGGACGGTTCCTCTGGCTTACTAACTGTTCCTCTTTTCCTTTTTCTGGCTCCACGAGCCCTTTCAGGTTTATCAAAACCGTGGTCTCTGCAAAAGAAATACAGTGTATGGTCATAACAATATGAGATAAAAAGAAAAAGTCTAGAATAAAAAGATTTTTAGGGGGGACCATACCTGATAATAATATTACTTATATCCTTCGGTATAGACAAGCTTGAAGGAGAAATGTCCATTATCATGTCATACGTAGTACTGGGATAGACTTTGCTGCAACTTGTATACATATGGAATACCCTATATACATAGAACAAAACATTTTATATCGGAAATGGGAAAATCTGATGAAAGAAACTGATTACATCACATTTGTCATTCATTCAAAGGTTCAACGAAACAAGTAAATGTTATACAATAATACTTACTTGTATGGATCCAGTCTAGCTTCTTGCAACTCTGCAGCTACACTTATGGCAGTTGGTATAGAATCTGGACGTAGAACTCCAGTTCCCCAAGGATCGTAGTCTTGAAACCCACCAAAAAAATTCTCTACGTCAAGGCTGCCAATACACCGGACATTGTACCTGCCACTTTTAACTAGTGGGAATAGTTGTATTCGACGTTCAATTCCTGTCAATAGCCCTTCATACAAAATAACTGGAATACCTTTGACAAAAGCGCCTGGTGGAGGAAACTCTCCAAAATTGATGCCGTCCAAGAGCCAGTCTCTAAATTTAAGGCGGTGTTCACATCGAATAATAGCTGGTATTCCTGGATCGTCTTCCGCTTTATACCAATGTCTTACTAGTGAACAGAACTTTGCTTCCTCGTGCGCTCCAATTGCGTTTAATGCTGACTCTACCTTTTCCGAAAATGTCTGTACTGCATATGCGACACTCTGCTTATCTATCATGTCTTTCACAAGAGCCACACTGAGACCACATCCATTGAATTCACTCTCCTCAGCAACTTTGTGCAAAGGTTTGTTTGATATTCCAGCTTCTGGGATGCCGTTTGAACATAAAAGTCTCCGTAGTCCACATAGTTGATGATAAGCATCAAGTATCATAAAAACATAATATCCCACACAAGTATTCATTTCCGGATAACTGTACCATTGCTTTCTTTTCTCAGATGAACTTCCTTCAATATTAATGTTCTTTCCATATGGACATGATCCGTACCATTTTTCTAATTCTACAGGAAATACATTTTCCGACAGCACAATGTTTAATTTTTCTTTAGGTATCTTATTAAGGCATGATCTACACAGTGCTTTGAGTGTGTTAACCTTGTAGGTCTTTCTTGACGTTGGAGTAGGCAGTTCAGTATTGTTGCCTAGCAGCTTGGAAAACAAATTCACATGTAAATATTTAGGGTCCGTTTGCCTTGAATCCGTGGATTTTGAGTTTTCCTAAAATAGGTTTCAGACACAACTGCAGCTCATAGGCCAGAAAGTTTTTATTGATTTCGGATGCACTTTTCATTTTTGCTTTGAAATCAGTAGAGCTGATCATCCAGATGCTCGTTCTTTTGGATTTGGTGTGAGCTTTTAACTCTTCCAGCATCAAACTGATATCATTTTCAGTTACCAAGTCTGCATTTATATTTGTCTTCTCAGGATTATCCATCTGATTTTGTCTAGGTTCTTCTGTACTTAAATCCTGTGGTTCATTTTCTTCACTAAACAATGCCGTCAAGTCATCAAAATCGCTACATTTGGAACTGGGTGAGCTATTCTGTTTTTCAATACACTGCACCTCCATTACGAGATCGTCATCCATCTGAGAAACAACTGCTGTAGGAAGACACCTCATTATTCCATTGTCTATCTCGCTCTGAGTCTCTTCTCTTATCTCTGGACATTTAGATTTTTCTCTCAACACATGGACAGTTCTTTGGGACATTACAAATGCTTTATCTTCTGAATTGCTCCAAAGATAAATTGCTGGACGCGGTTGTTGTTGGATTTTGAATCCCACAGAGCTCTTCAAATCATCGAAGGATTTAATTTCTCTTGTTCTTACAACATTCCTTGAAGATAAAATCCGTACAATTTCTGATTTGGAAAGTTTTCTTATATTGTTGTAAACATCTTTCTGTAGTTGTAAAACAGTTAAAGGCCGGTTTTGTTCATCACGAACAGCAACTTTCCACCATTGTCCATCAAAAGAACAGACAGGAATATAAAGTCCCCTTCTTGCACTTTCAGTCAGGACGGTCTCAATCATTTTTCTAACTGTGCATGTTGGTAAACTGTAACTCTTTAACCCGTAAGCTATTGGTACTGAGTGTAATTGTTCAAAGCTAAATTCCCGATCTAGATCGGAAATCATAAAGGCAAGAAGCTCCGAGGCTTTCGTCCTTGTAAGATCATATGCTCTCTGTACATCATTACGGGTACTTGACAACAATTCAATAAGAGTATCAAGAGAACGCAAATGAGATGTAGACGTGCTTCTTTCACATGCTGATGACTTGTCTCCTTGAATAGATCATGACACTAAAACTGACCAGTGTGCCAATCCCTATCTAATGCCTCAGAGTAAAATCCTGGGAGTGGATCACAGATTTGATAAAGAACATTTAAAAAAAAAACATTAAGAGTTTTATCAAATACTTATGATTTTTTACATTTCTTTATATTTTAAATTTTGTGTTTGTCTATCCTTTCATTTATTGATTTTTTTATTTGTTTTAATTAAAGGACTTTATAATATATGTCTGTTTAATCAATAAGCCAAAAGTAGAAATCATTATAAAATACTGGAAAAAATCTTTCAATTAAAAAATTTACTACAATTCCTCATTTCAACACTATTCTTTCTATATATTCTTTTTTCTTCTTCATAAACTAAATTTTAGGAAAATCGCAATCATACATTATTTGAATGTTTTAAGAACATTTTGAAAATAACATTAAAAAATGTTGCAGCAATGAAAAATTAAGTCTTTAAAAAAGGAAAACACATTAAATTGAATGTTCAAAAATTATTCTCACAACATACTCTTAAAGTTAATAAATGAATTAAATTGTGCCGCAATTACAAAAATGTTTCAGAAACATTTTGAAAATGTTTCGAAAAAATGTTACAAAAACTATAATTAAAATGTTTCAATTGTAGTGAAAATAATTATTTTAGTTAATGTTTTAAATAAACATTTTCACTGCCTAGGCCGAAAAATATCCGGAATTTAATGTTTATAACTAACAGCGATATTAAGAATGTTTTAAAAATATTTTAAAAATGTTCCTTACAATTTTTTTCAGAAACGTATAGGCAACGTTTCCGTTTTACAGAAAAAGAATGTTTCATTTAATGTTTTAAGAACGTTTTTAACACGTTTTATAAGATCTTTAATATTTGGAAGCTATACATACCCTTTGAATAATTTTAAGAAAAATGTTCCTTAAATGAATTAAGAATGTTTCAAAATCATTTTGTCAACGTTCCTTCCAAATGTTTCAGAAACGTATTCATGCAATGTTTCAGATTTATGGAAAAGGAATGTTTCATATCATGTTTTTAGAACGTTTTTAAAACGTAATATAAAAATCTTTGATATTTGAAAGCTAAACATACCTTTTGAAACATTTTTAAAACGTTTCAAAAATATTTTAGAAAAATGTTCCAAAAGGATTTAATCATAAGCTTCTTGAAAACATTTTAAAAATGTTTTTAAAATGTTATAAAGAGAAGAGGAAATGTTTTAAAATTGTTTTTAAAATGTTTAGTCTGAAATGTTTCGATAAAACCTTTTTACAACACCAATAAAATGTTTTGAAAATGTTTTGTGCTACCTGGGTATGCCAGTTCTATTTTTTAAAAATATTCCCAACAATCAAAATGAACATAAATAAGGCCATCATCGAAAAAAAATTGTTTGATGTAACGACCCTACATTTTTCAAGGTTGGTAGGTAGGTATGACATTTCTTTTCTTTACAAAATTGTGTAAAATAATACCCGTCATATAAATTATAGACTCAGAAATTTACTGATGTTTTCATTACACACTTGATAGATATATTGATTTATAATTTATTGCTAAAAATTTTCAATTAAAAAGCTTTATAAAACCATTACCCACGATAGATTGATGTTCGGACTCTCTGATATCAAAGACAGCTTCTTTTTATCATAAAAATCGAACTAATAAATATCTTTAACTAGTCCATAGCCATACGCAAAAAAATGATTTAACTGATTATACACCGAGTTTGCTTCAGTTTATATTAAAATGATTCTTGAGTTTCTGATTGAAAATGTCTACGTAGTTTTTAGAAAACAGCTATTACTACAGTCTACTGGTTTTCCCATAGGAACCAATTGCGCCACGCTACAAGCAAACCAATGTTTGATCGAATTACATGAAGTAGAATCTATAAAATATTGCTACATGAGAATA